CCCCCCCACCGCCTGCCTCCCTTGTACCATTCGCACCACAAAGGGGGTCTTAGCCTCTCATCGTAATCATTCCGGCTTCAACTGATTCCAACGGCGGTCACGTCTCCGATGTCGCTTTCCAATCAATTAAGTGGACTCGCCTGGGTAAGAGACGAAATAAGGGAGTAGGAGAATAAGAAAGAGGAGAGAGGGGGAGGTTGGATTGCGCGCAATCTATGAGCCATGAGTCGTGAGACGTGGGACACTGCGTGTCATTGGAAGACTTTTGAGAGTGAATGATACGATGATACGTCAGATACAAATGTGTGTGGGGCCGTCACACGTACTTACAAGTGTGCGACATGCACTCACTCGGGTTTCCGGTTCAAGGTCATGTTAGGCGCTCCTCTGTGAAGGACATTTCTTCACCCCCTCTCTTTTAAAAAAAAAGGCAGGCAGAAGTCCTACTATTATTGCTCACTTGTATTTCAACAACGGTCCCAGCAGCCACGGCTACGCCGGTCCCGCCCGCTGTCATCCCCAGCACGAATGAAATATCCCTCCCCCCGGGTTGACGGTGTCGGCCTCGGTCCGCAGGTCGCGTTGTGCAACGGTGATGAAGGCGTCGGAAGTGTTTCGTAGCGGGTTCTATAGAACTATATATGTTACGTACGATGTATTACATAGTACGTATGCATAGATGCCCCGTGTCCCGGTCTTCTCGCCACCATGCGCCTTTTTTTCCCTCTTTCGCACCCCCAGACGCCGCCGCAACCGCAAAAAAAATAAATAAAAAAAAAACGCAATTTGGAACCGGACCAGAAGCGTACGCACCTACTGTGCCCCACCCTACCACGCCACGTAATACACTATATGCATTACTGGAAACGCGAGTGTGTGAACGTCACACACTTTCATGTGGGTCAATGCCCGCAATCGTACACTTGAGGAGGTAAAGGTTTTTCTTTGAAATTCACACACTTTTGCGCCTCCATGTGTATGAATGTGAACACACGACATACTTCGGAACTTACCAAAATGCCTTACCAGAGATTCACACTAACCCGGCTGTGTCAAAACGAACGCCGCAGTTTTGTGGGCTTGCCCACTCGGCCTGTAAGGCGCCATGACCCTCGACCAAGAGGGCACACACATGCAATTTCCGCCGCAACACTGCAGAGTCCGCTCTGATACACGATACACCCGGTCCACGCTCTGATACACCCGGTCCACACTACTCTTAGGTTTCCAGAGCGGGGTCAGGTCGGGCAAAAATGAGACATACCACTGAAGTTAAGTTTCCCTCGACTTGATCCCACCCGAGTCGGTCTCAAGTGGTGCATAGGTGTGAGAATGTCGCACATTTTGTAGGTGTGTGAATGCCCACTCAAACACTCAATGGGGCGAGGGTGTAGATTTTTTTCAAAAATAAACACACTCCTTGAGCCTCCACCCAGGTAGCAGAGCTGCATAAAATGTGCATTTTGTGTCCAGTCTAAAAAGCGCCTAAAACGCGTGTAGGCGCCTAATATGTGCGTACACGCACCTAAAATACGCGTTTCAGATGGGACATATAATGCGGTTCGAATGCAGTTTGCTCCATTTTGCTACTTGGGCATGTGTCCAAATGTGTACAACACACCTACAAGTGGTATGCGCCGTTCGCACACTTGGTTTTCCCCTGGTGCGGCATACTCACATGTTCCGGTGCAGTTCCTGGGCTCCATGGCGGCGTCCGGGACGGCGCCTGGACGGGCCCGGAGTCGCCCCTCCCCGCGGCGGCGGAGGCCTGCGGTCAGAGAGCGAGTGGGGCGGGTGCGCGTTAGTTAGAGTTGCAGCTCGACGTGTGCAGCTCGAGGTGCAGCTCGACGTGCAGCTCGAGGTGCAGCTCGACGTGCAGCACAGCGCCACGGACGGAGATGCCGCTGTGTGTGGCGGGGACGTTCCTCCTCCGCCGCGACCTGGCCGCGCCGCGCCGGCCCGCCCACACGACATGCCAGGTGTCTGCGTCTGCAGAAACCGGAGATCATCGCGCGTGTGTTTTGTGATGTCGCAGCACACTGGCCAGCTTCCGTAGCGTATCCACGCGCTCTACTTTTTATCTTAACACGAAAAGCCCGAAAACTGACACACTCCAGTCTTTTTCTTTCTTTTTTTTTTCACGGAGATTTTCATGCCATCCGAGCACAAAAGTATACGGGTACACCCGAGGTGTCAAACTGGCAAATGACGCTTTTGAAAATATTTCTCCAGCAATCCTATGTTGTTGTTGTTATCTGTGACGGCCTCACCGTGAGGGAATGGAAAGGAGGGGCCTCACGAGGACAAATCCAGCATGAATGAAATTGTTTTAAATACTACTC